GTTCAGGAATTTATGACCTTCACCAGTGCCTTGATTGTGGAGCGAACATCTGTGGGAACCCGTGCCTCTGTCAAAGAGCAAGGTAAGACTTGGGGTGTACTTTTAATTTGATTTATCTTGCCTTGTTTTAATTCACTCTTTCTAAATTTAGTTACCATTAGTTGCATTAACTGGTCTCATTCTGGTTACGTGATCTTTTTTATACATTGCTGTGTGAAAAAACATAACAAGGTGATCAATGATTGGTGTGTATATATATATATATATATATATATATATATATATATATATATTAGGGATGGAACAGTTTATGAAAACCGTCCGAACCGTTCGGTTCGACTGTCTCGGTTCGATTCGCGTGTGTTGCGTTCAGGTTCATGCGCAGCTCCTTTTTTACTGTGGTGAAGCGTGTACACTCCAGAGCAGAAGGTGGCGGTACTGTGACCAAAGCCAACCATCAGTAGTAAACAAGAAGAAGCGAAGCAGCGTAGCCGGGTGTGTGTGTATATATATATATATATTTCTTAACACTTAAATTTTTTTGGAGCCTCTTTTAAAGATGATTGTTACAGCGACTCTCTTAAATGATTAAAAATGCTTTATATTAGCACCATAACAACTGAAATGTACAGTCTCTGTAAACAAATTATTTCCAAATAAAACATTTTATTTTAACATTCACCTTTACATATTATGGTTTATTTTATTTTGGTTTTCTTTTAGAGGTAAACATTCTCAAAATATCTATTTCTATCTCTTACATTCCCTTGCTTCTTTTTCACCCCCATAATTTCCTGTTTACATTCCTTTTGTTGTTTTTTTACCTTTAAGACCTGTTTTAGTTGTCTTAAAGCCATTCATAAAGAGGACTGCTCTTCAAAGTCAGTACCCTCAAGGTGAATTAAAATTCTCCTGAGTTGATTGTTTTGTATATTTTTCTGCAGAGTATCTCTGCCATGTGTACGTGAGAAATGACAACTTGAGTGCGGTGGTAATCTCAGACCATGAATACCCACAAAGGGTCTGTTTCACTCTGCTTGACAAGGTTGGTTTAAAAAAAAAAAAAAAACAGTTTTATATAATTTTGCTCCTCACTGTATTTCTATAAAAATGCATTTTGGTTTTTAGGTATTAGAGGAGTTTTCCAGGCAAGTAGACAGTATAGACTGGCCGTCTGGTAATCCTGACACTGTGAACTACAAAAGTTTGGACATTCACCTTTCAAAATACCAGGTAGGTTTATCTTCTAGTTTGGACACTACTTTATGAGTTTAAGAACTCTATTACATTTCAACTATAACTTAACCCCAAAACATCTGTTATATGTGTGGGGGGTACTCTAAAGTTTTTGCTGGTTATTGACTCATTTTGGTTTTCTTCAGAACCCCAGGGAAGCTGATGCGATGACCAAAGTGCAGGCCGAGCTGGACGAGACAAAGATCATTTTGGTAAACAAACTTTTCAAATTAATTTGAAACAATTAATGCCTTACTTTATTTTGGCATTGGAATTAATGTTGTTTTAGTTTTGAAGGTATTGAATACGTAAACCTACAGAATGCTCTGAGATGCTGAAACGTAAAGGTTTTCATAATTAGGTTTACAGCAAAAACTGCCACTTCCTTCCTTATTTTTGTGCACTGTAATAAGAAGGATGACTCAGTTGTATAATCAGATCAATCCTTCCTGAAGTCTTTGCTAATTTGTTTAAGTTGCAGTCTGGATTAGAATGCCAGCAATTAAAGTAACAGAAGGCACAATAACAACCATCTCCTTAGTGGGTGATATTAGACTTTTTATGGTGGTATAAGGCTTTGGCTTTCTATCATAGAATCTATGCTGATTTGTATTGTTAATCTACAATTTTTAATGTTTTAATTGGACCAAAATTACATTTTTAAGTATTTATTTATTTTTTTTACAAAATAAAGCAATCAGAATCAGTATTGCTGCTATAAATATGAGTTTTCTCTTTCGTGGAAGGTTCTGTGTAAATTAAGGTAGCAAATCATTTGTGGAGCATAAATGTTGGTTTTATAACGTTCATAGAAACAATATTTACATCACCAGCAGCAACTTCTCTCACCATTTCAAATTTTTTACAGTTTACATTAAATCATGTTTTATTATCTGTAGCTGAAACGGATTTGATTACTTTTGGAACAGGTTTTAATTTTCCTTTAATTTTCATGCAAGTCTTCTAAAACTTTCATTCGGCTTCAGGTTCAGTTTAGGGAAAGAGTAGATATTAACCAGCAAGTAGGGCTGGGCGATATCGCCTAAGAATCTCTTTTATCCGATTTACAATTTATTTCTCAATTTTTTATTCCCCCCTAATTATAAAGGAAAGCAATAAGCACAAACGGGACACTATGTCTTTGGCTACGCAGGGGGCACATCTCTACCACGCCGCACTTCTGTTAACAGCTAGCTTGTTCGCTATCTAGACTGGGAACCTTATCAGACAGTTTTAAAATAAGAATTTCAATACACAACCCCATTTCTTCTAATACAACTACATCTAAATAAACTCACTCAAATTAATTCCTTATATAATTTTTTTTTTTTTTTTTTTTGATAAATTGGTTTTGAGTCCAAATCTTTCTGCTGCTCTTTCATAAAGAAAATGTTTTTGTCTGCAGCACAACACCATGGAGAGTCTGTTGGAAAGAGGAGAGAAACTGGATGATCTTGTGGCAAAGTCAGAGCACCTGGGAAACCAATCTAAAGCCTTCTATAAGACTGTAAATATGTCCGCCTCTATGATAAAAGTGGATTCATGTGTGTCTTCACTGCTACAATCAATGCTGTGGTTTTCTATTCTAGGCACGGAAACAGAACTCTTGCTGTGAAATCATGTGATGCCGCTGTCTCACCCTGGTGGATAGTTCTCTGCTTCTCCTACAACCCCCATCATGCACCACCTAGGACACCCCTACCCAACCACTAGGGTGCCGTGTTAATCCAAGATAGGAAGCAGCAAAAGGGTGGCCAATTTCAAGTGGGACTTCTGTGTGATGGGGGCTGAAGGACTGTCTAAGTTTATTGGGAGGAAGTAACCGTTTTGAGTCATGCTTAAAACCTTATTAAAGGTAAACATCTGTGTGGCTGAGAATATTTTAGCTTTGACGTAAAGTACTGCCGGTGTGTCGTTGGAACGTATTCATACCATTTAATGTTTTTCAGGTTGAATACAAACTTAATATCTTTTTCTCTTAAGCTTATTGACAGAGTATTAACCACAAATGTGCTTTTGCTTCAAATAACTGACAATCTCATAAATCAATATGTAAAAATTGGTTTTCTTGTTTCTCAAACTAATCATCCACTAGGGGGCTCTCTTCATGGTCCACAACAGCTATTGGCATTTTAAAACGTGTTATCACAACTTTGCAGACTTTTACGTGAACTTTCTAAACATCTTTGCTACATTTAGTTGCTTAACTGCCTTTTTTTTTCTCTCTCATGTTCAATGAAGTCTTCAACATTCCTGACTTGGCTGATTGTGTTATGTGATGAGACTTAAAGCTGAAGAGAAGTAGATTTATTGTAAAATGTATGAGAATCCCAGAGCATGTTAATTGTTTCTATTACCAAAACTAATGATAAATTATCAGATTTTTACCTGCATTGGTTCTAAACTTCTCAAGATAAGGATTACCCACATTACCTATGTTACCCACCATAGTCACTGCAGACCCAGACACCTCTGGGTCTGCAGTGACTATGAGGAGCTCAGTCTTATTTAATAACACATCCCCCTTTCAGTCACTCCACTGCTGACCTTTAATCATAACATGCACAGTTTGCTTTATGTTTTAGAACAAACTGAGAAGAAAAAAATAATTTCCACTTAGTCCAAAATTGATATCTGCCTTCAGGTCTGTATTTTAGATATTTTTTTCTGCTCTCTTAAGTGTGTATATACAGTCCATTTGTGATCTAACTTCTGGCTGCAGTCTGTCGATTCTGAGTGCCTGTATATTTGTGTGTTGAGGAGCTTGTTTGTGCAGTCTGATGTTGCTTTTTCTGCTTTTACAGTGTAACATTTGGTGCAATATCTGCAGACTGTTGTGTGTGTCTCTATAAAATGGAAAGAAAAGCTGGAAATGTTTCACACCAAGAACACTTCGTTAAACTCTGATAAAGATGCTTTTATTTGGATCAACCTTGACATGAGACTTGTCTATTTTTTTTTCTTCCAGAGTTTTGATTTATACTTCTGAAAACTGTTTATTGGTTTTTATACTGTAAGGTCCAGTTCAGTGGCCGCTGTGTTGAACAGCATGGATTTAACAGTATGCATTAAAAATTATGTTCCAAATACAAGTTTCACATTTGAAATAAGCTGTCATTTTCTGTCTCTCTTAACACTAGTTATTACAGCATGAACTGGTTCAGATTCTTTACAAAACACTTAGTCCTGCTCTGATTTAAAAATGCCTTTTACATTTATAAAAGTTATATATGATAATAGATTATGAAATTATCTCTTTAGATGTGTGTATGCGTTCTGACATTCCTGATAGAGAACCCGTTGTATTCTTTATTGTAAGAAACATCAGAGAAAGAGAACCTTATATTTAAAAATTTCAGCTGATTGAGTTTTTTTTTTTTTTTTCTGTTTGGGAAAAAAAAATCAGCCGTAATTAAGTGTTCTCTTTCCATTTAAACTGTAGCAATTGTTAGATATTTATTTTTATATTTATCCAGACATCAAAACAGAAAACACGCCTTAATTTGTTAGAAAGACAAAAATGTGGTTTACTTTTATTGGAAGGGAAAATTTGCTCTATCGGGAACTGAGATTAAATTCAGAATTCTGAGAAAAAAGTCAGAATTCTGAGATTAAAGTCAGATTTATGTCTTTTTTCTCATACTGAAAAAAAAATCATTAAACTTTTTTTGTTTTATTTCAGTAGCCATAATCATCCTCCGTAACTTGCACTAAATAACTTTAGCTAAAAATACAATTGAAAGTCTCTACAGCGTGCGCTTCACGAAGTAAAGTTGTGAAATACGACACTAAAGTAGGTCCATGAATGCAACACAAAACACGCGAAGACTGATTGAGAATCCTGCAGCTTGGACCTCATATTTTGAACAGAAGAGAAAAACAAAGACTGAGCTATCTTTGGTAAAAGCCTATCACTAAAGGTGAGTAGCAGTAAACAGATCGCGTGTTTCTGAACAGCCAGATTATCCAGAGCTTGAATTAGTTCACGGTTTTATGGTACAGCTGCTTGAAGCTGCAAATGATCAGGAAAAAAACGCGATCGAGTTGCCCGATATTCTTTTAGTTGTTGCTCTGATGACTCCTCGTGTTTAACTTCCTACAACAAGTTTCCTCTGTTGCAGTGAACAGCGTGACCTCCTCTTTAGCTTGTCTTTATTTTTCTCTCAATTCGGTCTTATTCAATCTTAAAGCTTAGATAGAAATAGCAGGTGCTGTTCAGTAAAACCTCCACAGCAGTGAATTAATGTGCTCTGTGATTTATCCCTGCCACACTCTAATCATAATGTTCTCCTTTGTTTTTAGATGATTGACCCAAATCTCAGAGAAGAACCTTTAAATTTAAATGGTAAACTGCACATCAGCTCATCTTTCTTAGTCAATGTCCTTTAACTAAAATATGCTTTTTTTTTTCTTATTTATCCATATCTTACTCATTCCTTTATCTGTGGTTTCTTAAGCATACATTTACTGCTGAGTACTACAGTGCGTTCTGCAGCAGATAGTGTCAGTGACAACTCCTTTGGGATTGCAACATCTAGGTCAGATTTTGCAAAGACAAACAGAAGATCCTGTCTGTCTGCTTCAGGTGGATTGCATGAGTCAATATGCGTCAGGCTGAAAGGACTGCAAACAGCTTAAATCAGAGGTCTTCAACAGGGGGCCCGTGGCCCCTAGGGTGTTCACGGAGGTTCTGTATGGGGGTCAACGAAAGTTTTGGTTGATTAGACTAATTTTATATTTCCCCCCAGCGATTTTTCCCACTAATTGAAATGTCTTTGAATACACTTTACAATGAATTCAACACACTGTAGTAAACAGATAAAAGGAGGCAGAAGATGTCTTTCAGTCATTAAAGCACACATTCAGCAACACACAGGATCTCTTTCAAGCTGGGCACCATTTCATTTACAACACCTGTCCCATCAACCAGGAATCAGATTCAGAAATACTTTAATAATCCCAGGGGGAAATTACTTTTGTTACATTACTCCATATGCAACGTTTCTTTAACATCTAATAATTTTGAAGTTTAATGGTTATTATTTAGTCCTAATATAGCAGCTTGCTATAGAAAAAAAAAGAAAAGAAAAAGAGTCCAGGACCAGTGTTTGCCCAAATATAGTAACACCTCACTCCTGACATCTTCTGGCAGTGACGTCACAGCACGGTAAGCCTAGCACCATTCTCCCTGCTTTACAAGCAAATTCAATGGGAGCTACTGGACACGCTTGCAATCAACAACAATTATTTTAGATTTGGAGAGGACTTCACCGTTGAAATTCGTGCGAGCTATAGTTAAATTGACAATGCCCAATTGCATTAGCCTAGTAAACTAGCCGTACCTGCCAGCAGCCAAAATCATTTTTGACTGCAAATTACACATTTAATTTCACATTCAGTCTGGTTTATCAGGTTACATGTGCATGGCAGTAGGATGTAATATTTCAGGTAAAAGTGAAAAAAAACTAGTTATTTCACCTTTCCAATTCATGATATTCCATGGATGGGTTACTGCGGTCCTGGTCGTTGGATTGCCAACTTGAAGAGGGAGGATTAGCCATCAAACTTCTAGTCAGATAAAAAACATGTAATATGTAGCCAACATTTCGAAGAATTCTTTCAAGATGACTTGGATAATAGTGCATTGGAACAAACACCAGATGCAGCTCTGGGACTTGATCAACAGCCGATAACGCACCGTGACGTCACAAACTTGTAGGTGGCAGTAGTGTTCTTTGCCAAACATGGATGTCACCAGTAAAGCACATTTAAAGGAAATTACTCTTAATTAAAACACTTATCATTTATTGAACAGTATGTAGTTTGAATTCTGAATATGACCGGATTTTTCCTTTAAAGAAATCTAATTTTCTTTATTTCAGAGAATAAAAACCGAATAGCACAAAATCTCATTTAGGTTTTACATTACAATATAAGACTTGACAATTTCATCTATGTTGATTTAGATTTTTTTTGTTTTAGAGTTGGCTTTGTAGCAATGTTTTAACTTTTAATGTTTCTCTGTCTTTGTTTATCGCTAGTTACCACTGCAGTTGCCACCCATTCTTCTCAAACAGAGGATTCATTAACCAGGAGCAGCGGGATCATACCTGGTCAGCAGCACTTTGTTTTAAAGTAGACATTTTTTATTCTCTTTAGTTTAATTTGGTACAGCAAAGGAAACATTTGTCAGGAAAAACAAAAACATGGTGTCATGAGTAATGAATAATGAAAAACGTCAGATGAAATGGAGTTTGGTATTTCTTTTAGATAAATAATCGAAATCTCACTAAAGACTTTTTATCCTGCCTGGAAAACTTTGGTTTTCAATTCACTGATTTCCCCACACAAATAAAAGGACATGCTCTGGATTTAATCTTTGCTGTGGTCTCAGACCTATCACCTGCATTACTTCTTTTCATTTGAAATCTCTCCTAGACTCATACAATTTGGAAACAATAAGGACCTCCTCACAGCCTTAGAACTCTGCTTCCAGACCTGTCTTTCACCGCTGACCAGCTCGCATCTCCGTATAACAACAGTTTGAATAATATTCTGGACTCTCTGGTTCCAGTGAAAGCTTGATCAGTTGCTTTCTCCCACTCTATCCCCTGGTTTACCCTAAAATCATATCCATGAAAGCTAAATGTTATCAACTTGAATAGCTTTATTACAAAAGCGGTCTGGAAATTCACATTTCTACAAAGCTCACATAGAGCAATATAAGGCATTAATTACTGAAACTATATCCTGTTACTTTTCTGGTGTAATCTGCTCCAATGAAGGTAACGCAAAAACTTTGTTTTTACTGTTTAAGATTCCATTCATTCCATCACATCCCTCCAGTCTTGCAGGAACCTCACTGGCTCCCTGTCAAATTCAGAATTCAATCCAAAAGTCCTTCAAGTTCATCTATAATCTCTCTCCCCCATACCTTACAGATTTCTTTCAGATTGCTACCCCTTATCTCTTCCATCCACCATATTTAACCACTGGCCCTCCTCTTCACCATGATAACAACTTTTTTCTTGCTCTGCTCCCAAACTGTGGAATCCATTATACTGATACTTTACTTGTTTAAATCAAGGCTAAAAACTAATTTGTCCCAGACTGCTTATCCTCACTGATAATGCAAATGTGTACTACAGTATATTTGTTAAAGATGTTTGAACAGTTATTTTGTCTCAAGTTTTTTGATCTGGCACATTTTCATATTAAAGGTTATTAGGGCATTACTGGAGATCCCACTGCGGCATTCACTGGATCCCATTCTTATAAAACTGATGTGGGATAATTGTCTACATTATCATCTAAAAGCATGTAGATTCACTTTAGTGGTACTGTATTTAAAGCTTGTATCCATTGAATTTTTTTTCAAGGAAGTGGACTGTTGTATAGAGCTTTTTCTTAGAAGCTCTCTACTCTAGAAACTTTCTGCTTCTTCTCTCTAGGAACCATGTTACTGTTTTAAAATGACTGAAAAGAAGCTAATTACTTGCAACGTTATAACACCCTACTGTTTTTAAAGTGTCTAACTATCTTTTTCAGGTACAATTGCAGCCTCAGTTTTCATTGCCTTCTTGCTTGCACTCTACGCCACTCTCTGGAAGTGCATGATGTCACCACCAACTCGGTAAAACTATGACACAGGTTGACTCATGGGCTTTTTGGAGCTTCAATTTGGTTTCCTTCAGAGTTGCCGATCTTATTGGCTCCCATTTGCTCCCAAACCTGATTTTGTACATTTCTACACTTTGAACATTGGCTCATTGGAAAAAAAAAGAAAAGAAAAACACACCTCTTCTTATAAGTACTGCTCATAAGGATTTTGGTGTAGGTATTATTACTTTTTTTTTTCTCTTACAGAAAGAAAAGTAAGCGGAGGATAAGGGCACAACAGAAGAGGTCTTCTCTTCAGCATCTTTAAACCAGTCAATGAAGATCAGGAAGCACATATGTTATGGATTGGCAAGTCTGCCTGAGCAGTGGTTACTGGCGACCTTTTTAACTCAAAGGTGATGATGATGTAAATAGTTGTGGCAGGTCAGATTGTGCTCTTTTTTTCCTTTGATGTTTTACTAGGGAGGCAGAGGCCCAGGAAGAACTTTTTTCTTGTGTAGAGATGAGTATTATGAAAGACTTGTCTGTTTTTTATGGTAATTTTTGTACAAATAAAACTTTTTTGCAAATGTGCCATGGTCTATTTGGACAGCATCTCCAAAGAGTCAAAGAAAACCACAGATTGGAGATTAGAAAGCAAGTGTACACAGCTACCTAGAGTGTACCAGCTAACTAGAGCTAGAGCTGAAGCAACATCCTCTAGCAAGCCAGCAGGGGGTGGTGTCAGCCTTTTTTAACATTATGAGAGACTGACCCTGCCTCAGGGAACAACAGCTGGTTATTCCCTGTCACATAACATGAGTGACGAAGATGGAAGCCCGCCGTCAAAAACCAATCAGGGTCATCCTTATAAGGGTTAGAGCAATGCACTTGTGCTCCGAGAAGGTTGCAAGTGTCTGGTTGGATCCCCACAGCCTACGCTCTGGGTTCTTAAGCGAAACCATTAACCCCACACTGCTCCCCGGGGTGCCACACAACGGCAGCCCACTGACCCCAAAGGGGATGGGTTAAATGCAAAGTTAATTTCCCCATTGTGGGACAATAAAAATATTTACATAACTTAAAATTGTCTGATAACAAAAGACTAATTGTATACAAACACTTGACTAAGTTGGCTCAATGTCCATCTTTTGAGTAGACCTACAGGCAGAGAATCCATCCTGCATAATATGCTGTTTATAGAGCTGACATCTGCCAGGCTGCTTTGACCAAAAAAGTTGTGACAGTTCTTACCTTCAGAGCATTGTTTTCGACTTGAGGACATCACATAGATGTCTTGTCCCAACCTATGTATGAGCGTGGAATGCGCTCCAGAGGGCAAAGGACCTATCATGATACTGTCAGGTAAAAAGTCTGATAATTTAAAGAGAGTATTCTAGGGTTTCTAAGGCCATCATCTGGCCCATATTACTTTGTCTTTAAGACACTTAAGCATCAATGGTTTCACACTTTTTAACTTTCAGTGACAACAAATTAGAGGTTGTGGTATTATATTCCTGCAGCTCCTGTGAGCCATCTCCTCTTGGGCCCTTTAGTGTTTTTATCACATTTCACAGCTGGCATAAATAAAGCTGACTCCTTCAAAATTACATTTTGAAGCAGTAATTCATGCCTTCATGACAACTCGGTTTGATTATTGATATTGTTCTCTACATTGGAATCAACCAGTCGACCCTCAAGCGCTCTAAAGTCCCTAAATTATTGAACAATCGCCCGTTTTATATTAGAAATTTGTCTTTCATTGTCTTTCATTGTTCATGTTTTTAAAACTTGCCTATAGACACATTCTTGTTTCTTAGCTTTAACATATGTTGAGACTGTTGCCGTATTATGTTTTATTAATTCCATTATCATTGTTCTTTTTCATATTCTTTGTTGATTCTTGTGCACTGTCAGGCCTAATAACTGAACTGACCGGGCATAACATTATGATACCTAATAATTGAATTCAGATTATATTCCTGAAATAAGCACATTTAAAACTAATAGGTTGCACAAGGGATGGGTGGGCCAAACTTATCCCTCTACCTTACAAAGTAAAGCTTGGGAGGCAGCTATCTTAATACACAAATCTTTACCCGTTAAGTTTTTCTGCACTGCTTTTAAGCCTTTCAGACTTCCAGTTTTTAAAATATTATCAGTTGGATGGCAAAGGGAGGAGCTTCCCCAGGTGTCTTTCATGTGAAACCATAGCTGGTTTCAATGATGAAATAGTGGTGGTTAACCTACCGTCTGGCTGTTTTTTAAAAGATGAGCGTTATGCATTTCACAGAACTGATGCTTATCTTTTAAACTGTGCATGAGAGTGAAAGCCATTGCATTCATTTAATGCTCTTTAAATAAAAACAAATCTTGTGTAAGAACATTTTTTAAAGGAAAGCTCTGTTTACACCTTAAAGCTTTCTCTCTCCAGTTCTTTTTCCTGAAAAGAGATCTCTCAGGAAAAACTTTTTAAATAACACTTCATAATGTATATGCATTAAATAATAATGAGACATGACATCAGATTCTGATAGAAATTGTAATCTTACTCAGAGAGGATTGCGTTCCCAAAACTCTGCACTTCACAGTTCCTGAAACTGCTGTATTTCGACTCCATCTCCTCTATGCAAAGTGTCCAGCTATAGTTCATTGAAAATATCTCCATAAAAAGGTGCCCCGATGTAGAACAGTAAAAGAAAACAAAAAAACTTTTCTAGCATCCCAAGAACCCTTCAATAGTCTGTTGTAGATTGTCTGCATATCTGAACCCCTGACTAGATGCAAAAATTTGCAGGAAACCTAACATGTTCACATATGTGTTTTATCTAATAAGCTGTTGTATATAGTCTGCAGTTCCATCTAATTCATTGATTGCAGCTACAGGTGAAGTAAATGCAGGTATTTTCATTACCTCATGCATCGAATGTGTGGTTACCCAGTCCAATCATTAAAAATGTAGCTTCTGTAAAGCAAATGATGAAGCAAATTATTACATCTTCCAATATAAGCAATATTGATTATTAATGAGTTAATTGTGCATATGGCACTTCAATATCAGGCCCAGGATCTAAAACTTTACAATTTTTAACTGCAAGCTGATTTAAAATTTGCTTTACAGAAGCTATATTTTTAATGATTGGACTGGGTAACCACTCATTCGATGCATGAGGTAATGAGAATACCTGCATTTACTTCACCTGTAGCTGCAATCAATGAATTAGATGGAACTGCAGACTATATACGGTGACTTATTAGATAAAACACATATGGGAACATGTTAGGTTCCCTGCAAATTTTTGCATGTGGTTCAGATATGCAGACAGTCTACAACAGACTATTGAAGGGTTCTGGGGATGCTGGAAGAGTTTTTTTGTTTTCTTTTACTATTCTACATCGGGGCACCTTTTTATGGAGATATTTTCAATGAACTATAGCTGGACACTTTGCATAGAGGAGATGGAGTCGAATACAGCAGTTTCAGGAACTGTGAACTGTTGAGTTTTGGGAAGGCAGAAACAAGTCAGAGTGTAATCCTGTGTTCTGAAGAGATGAACATTTAAATATGACATTTCATTTGAAGGAACGACTTCTTCTGATTCCTGCTGCCTCAGTGATATGAGGCTGATCATACAGGTAAGGCTTATCCTGCAGGGCGTGTAGGGTCACCTTGGCCCCAAAACTATTATGGTTCAAAGCTGCTGTGGTAACAGAGGGTAACCTAATGGACTTGTCCTAACATTGAACTGTTTTGCATGTTGGAGAGGATCAATGCTTCAAGAGACACTTTCTCTTCCAAGACCAGTTGCTGGATGGCTCCTGACCAGTTTCCCCACATATAGATCCACTCATATAGATTCATAAATTAACTCACTAAGACACACACTCATAGTTTCAGACATTTAGGACTTGCAAAGGTCCACGTGGGAATTACGTTCTTTCATTCACTGACATTCAAAGCTACTAAGTCTGACGAGGGAATTTTAAAGGGGGGATCAGTGCCAAGCTGGTTATTCTTAGAGATTGAATAACTTTTTTAAGTATGCTGTGATTAGCTGTAGGCTTCAGATTAAAAATAGTTTCAAAGTTTTCCTTAGATTAAACTTGAATTGAATGTTAAAATGTGTGAAGCAGGGTTAAATGCTTTCTAAATATCTGTAGATTTATTTACAGCTTTGATGTACATCCTTAAAGGAGATTAATCCATGTTAATTGTGGTGATTTCAGCTTATATGCACGAAATAATGAGCTGAGACATCAATAGGATGTTCAGGCTGAATACATTCTGTTACAGATAACCTTCAGCTGCCAGCCATTGAAAGGTCAGACATGTTTGATGTTTTCTGATTAGATCCTGAAACAATCTGCTGAATAAACATTCGGATGACAGATCATTTAAATGTAATGATATTAATGAAGACTTTAGAGATAAAGTGAAAGTAATTGTGGATAAGAATATCTGGTTGTGACTGCACTTAAGTATTGAGTAAATGATGAATTACTCAGTAAAGACAGTGCTTATCTTGATAAGAACAGTAATTGAACTTTCTTGTGTGTCGGAGGATCCTGGAGGAACGGATTGCTGTACTGTGATGTGAGCCATGAGGACCACCACGTGGATTCAGCATCTACACTGCCATTGGACAGCATGGAGACCAAAGGGGCTGTGGAGGAGACCATATGAGACTCTGATTGATTGATTGTTGAGTGATAGAGACACTGAAAGAATTTGGGGAATAGACAGCTTTCGTCACTTGCCTTTAACTCGGACTAGGATAATTCTTGATTTTTACTCATTGTGATTTATGTGATTGATTCATTTTAATTTGTTTCGATGATGAACATGGAAACATTTTGCTCCAGACCCACCTTTGCTTTGATAAAGAAAGACTCAGAACCTGACTGGCTTAAAGGTTCTTTAATTGGTAATGATAATTGTCAGATTCAAAACGGGTTTTTTTCTTGCTCAGATTGGCTGAGAGTGGGATTTCCCTGGGGTCACCCATGTTTTTACTACCTTCTAGATAAGGTAGGCTTTCCCGGTGGAGAGCAGCCCGGCCTTTCCTGTGACGTCCCCTACTGTGACTGAATGATTGGTAAATTTAGGCGGATGATTTATCCATGATGAGCGGTCACGCTTAGGAGGCCTCCAGGTGGGAGTGAGAGTAGATGAGTTTGACCTTATTACAGTTATAGGCTTAGGTGAGCTAGTCTAATGTAAATTAAAATAATGTTCACAAAGGAAACTAAAACAGCCTTCCTTTAATTAGATGAAACCCAAATTGTAGTTAAATGCTGAAACTGTGGTCTTGAGTGACAACATTTGGTCTGTGAAGTTTTGATTGTGATAACTTTTGATCCCTGATTAATGCTACATCATCAGGGGGACTATTGATTGTTTATTCCATGATTATATGATGAAAGAAACAGTGCTTAAAGTTTTTCTTCTGTTTTAATATCCTTTTCATGAGCAGACATAAATGGGTTTGTGGACATACAATTTTTGTTTTAAAGGTGACTTTAAAAATGTGACCTTTTCAGGGGGAACTGTTAGGATAATTATAATTGATGATGTGTGAGTTTTTTACACCCTA